TCTCCTGACGAATTCGGCGACGTTCTTCTTCATCCCTCGCCACCAGAACGACCCTTCAGGTCGTGATACATCTTCGTGCTCCCGGGATGGGCTAGATAGGGTGCGGTATGAGCCTCTGATAAAATCTCCTTCCGCAACGCCTCGACATTCGGGACCACGATCCTGCCTCTGAACTCTAGGGCACCATCGGCACCTAGCTGAAAACCCTCGACGCCTCCGGCACGAACCTTGGCATCCATTACACGAACGAACTCGTCAGAAGCCTGCTCTCGCTGGATTCTCTCTCTCAGCGTCGGCTGAATCTGCATGGCACTGACACTGGCACTGACACTCCCCGAAATGGCTGTGGGAAGTGCATCGATCGCCTGAAGCTGCATCTGGGCAAACTCCTGAATTAATGGAATCTGCTGAGTAACGACGTACGTCAAGTCACCCCTCACCTTTCGGCTTAGGGCGTCAGCAACGACGTTCGCCTTTCCCGGATGATACTGAATAGAGCAATCGTAATCCTTGACGAGCTCGAGCCAACAACGCTGTCTCATGTTGAGCTCCTTCTGAGTAAAAATATATTGCAAGCTCTTATGATCTGTGAAAATCTCACAATGACCGCCGTAAAGATAATGTCGCCAAATCTTAAGAGCATGAACGACTGCGGCTAACTCCAAGTCGTGCGTTGGATAGTTCTGCTCATGCGGCTTAAGCTGACTTGAAGCATAGGCAACGACCTGGCCATCCTGCATAAGGACGCATCCCAAGCCCTGTCTCGAAGCATCGCTGAAGATAGTGAAACTCCGAGAAGGATCGGGAATAGTCAACACCGGTGCTGAAGTTAATCTCCTTTTGAGCTCCTGAAAGCTCGACTCACATCGGTCAGTCCAATCGAACCTCACAGACTTCCTCGTTAGCTGGGATAGAGGGAGGGTAATCTTGGAAAAGTCCTCGATAAACCTGCGATAATAACTAGCTAGACCGAGAAAACTGCGAAACTCGGACGGACTTCTCAGTGTTGACCAGTTCTGACAGCTGAAACCTTGGAAGGATCCATCTCGATACGTGCCTGAGTAATCACATGACCCAGAAAGGTTACTCGCTGGAGCCAGAACTCGCATTTGGAGAATTTTGCAAACAACTTTTCTCGTCTGAGGGTTTCGAGAACTACCCTCAGATGCTCCTCGTGCTCCTTCTGGCTCTTTGAGTAGATAGGGATATCATCAATAAAGACAATAACAAACTGATCGAGGTAGGGATGGAAAATACGGTTCATCAGGTCCATGAAAACTGCTGGAGCATTGCTGAGACCGAATGGCATGACGACGAACTCGTAATGGCCGTAACGAGTCCTGAAAGCGGTCTTAGCGATATCTGACTCCTTAATCTTCAGCTGGTGGTAGCCTGATCGTAAATCAATCTATGAGAATACACAGGCTCCCCTCAGCTGATCAAATAAGTCGTCAATCCTGGGAAGCGGGTACTTGTTTTTGATCGTCAACCGGTTCAGATCCCGGTAGTCGATACACATGCGCATGGATCCGTCCTTCTTCTTGACAAAGAGAACGGGTGCTCCCCAAGGTGACACGCTCAGTCGGATGAAACCGAGTCGTAGTAACTCCTGGATCTGCGCCTTAAGCTCTTGCAACTCTTTCGGCGCCATACGGTATGGGGCTTTGGATACTGGACCGGCTCGTGGAATGAGATCGATAGAGAACTCCACCTGCCGGTTAGGCGGTCCTTCTGGAAGCTCGTCTGGGAACACGTCCACAAACTCACGAACAACTGGAACGTCATGAGGTGATCGTGCTTTCTGAGAATCATCGACAAGGCTTACCAGATAACCCTGGCAGTTGCCTCGTCGCAACAACTTAGTGGCTTTCGCCATCGAAACAACATGAGGCAATGAACGATTCCTGGAGCCAAAGAAAGTGATCGAGTCGTCTCCCGGAAGATAAAGAATAATCTCCCGGTCATGACATTTGATATCTGCATGATAAAAGGATAGTCAATCCATTCCGAGAATAAGGTCGAAGTCCCTCATCTCGAGAACAAACGCGTCGGTAGACAATACTCGTCCACCGATGGAAAGGTTAAGATCTGAAGCTTTAGCTGAGGTCACTATCTTTCGTCCCGAGGCTAAACTCACCTCGAGAGGACCGACAGCGGTAACGGCGTGAACTCTGATGGCATCAAGACATCGTCGTGAAATGAAAGAATGTGTTGCTCCAGTATCGAATAAAGCAAACACAGGAACATTATTAAGCACAACCATCCCTGACATAGTACCTGGCTGCTGCTCGGCCTCTGCCTGATCAACTGCATAGACTCGGGCCTACTGTCTGCCCCTCTGCTGCTGTTGCTGAGGCGGCCTCTGTGCCTGCTGACGGGGCTGCTGCTGCTACTGCTGCGGTGGCTGCTGAGGCTGCTGGAGCTGTTGTGCCTTCTTCGGACAACGGTTTGCAAAGTGTCCGGGCTCGTGACAGTAATAGCATACATCCTGGCCAAAGTGACACTCGCCTCGGTGAAGTCGTCCGCATGTGGGGCACTGTGGAATCTGCTGTAGCCTGCGCCGGGTCCTCTTGTCCATCGGGGCACCTTTCCCCTTCCTCTTGTTGTTCTTCGGTGGCTGGGCAGTGGCTGGTGGCATCGGTGGAGCTGTAGAAAACTGGGCAGGGGCAACTGGCTGCAATCGACCATGGTTCGCCTCCCTTCTGATGCTGGCATCCACCTCCTGGGCAATCGAAACAGCACGTGCATACGTCTGGGTCCCGTGACCAACAATATTGTGACGGACTGCTGGGTAAAGCCCGTCAATGAAGCGCTGTGCCCTATGAGCTTCCGTACGAACTAGATCCGGAACAAAACCTGCAAGTCTGGTGAACTCCCTCTCATACTCGTCAACAGTACGAGTACCCTGCTGGAGCGATAGAAACTGACGCTCCATCTCTGCTCTGTAGTAGGTGGGGTAGTACTTCTCGCGGATTAGCTCCTTGAGCATATCCCATGTACATCCCGCCTTCTCACCAGGACGCATGCTCCAGTAGGCATTCCACCAGAGCCGGGCATCACCGGTTAGCTGAAGCTGAGCGCAGATTACGCGATATCTCTCTGGACAATCTATGACCTTGAAGATAAACTCAAGGCCCTGAATCCACTCGTCCACGATACGGGGATCTCCCTGCCCGGAGAATTTCTCGGCATGATAGTCGCGAAACTGTGCGACTACTGTGGCCTGAGTAGGAGCCGGGTGATCGGGTTCCCTACGGGGCGGCATCTGAACATTGAGAAAGTTTAACATTATTGAACACGTGATAGTATTCTGACTGATTACTAAGACACACAAATCTCTTGACGAGTTGCCAAAAGTGGCCAATAAATGCTGACATGAATCCTGAGAAACTCTAGAGTCATATCGAAAGATACTAAATTCTAGAGTCATGAAAATACTGAATTCTAGAGTCATATCTGAACTCTAAAGTCTGAATATGATTCGAGCATCTTAACTAAGTTCTGATCAATACTTTCTGAGCATAGACACAGTAATATGTTTATAATTTAAACTAAATCAACACTTACCTGTAGTCGGCGAGGCGTGAGCATGACGGTTCAGGTTTTTCTGAAAATTACTGACTGAAAAACTTTTCAGAGACGCAGAAACGTGCTCTGATACCAATTGTAACACCCCGACTTTTTACTTACGCGTTTTTCACAAATTTTTTGAATAAATAAATAAAATATTTATTTTGCGAAAACTGATTCGGAGTGCTACCGTGAAAAACTTGACTTTTCTGAAAACCATTAAATTTTTAAACTGATAATAAAACGGTCATAATATATTAACCGATTAGTGTCGGATCAAAACTGAATTTAAGTACTGAAAGTTTTAGCGGAATAACAGCGTGGCCAAAACATATATACACATACACAAATATCCTGAACTGCCCGCCAGCTCACTCCTCGTCCCCGACTCTGCGACCTGAAAAACATGAATACGTGGGGGCGTGAGCACTAAAACACTTGTGCTCCGCAGAAACTCATACTAATGTAAACATTGAAAATAATAACAATATCATGATCCTGGCATATATAACTGAACTGAAACTGAAACTGAAACTGATATCTGATACCGGTCTGATCTCGCGACATAAGTCACGTAACTGATAACTGAACATCTGTCGGCACAAACTAATACCGGAATCTGCCGGCACAAACTAATACCGGACACCATGTGCACACTCTAGTGGGCAGATTAGGCCACTAGAACCCAGAATGGACCTGCGACCATTCCGAGCGAATACTGAATATACATACCTCAAACATGGTAGCGTAATTATAATCAATGTAGTACTTAGTCTGAGTCCCCACCTGAACTGCTGAAACTGAAGGTAGTGCTGATGCCGGATCAAACTGAAAATAATATAAACAATTACTACTGACTATGCTCAGACTGATAAATTAACTGATTAATTATGTTAAGATGCTCTACTGAACCTGACATGATATTCGGACTTAATCGGTATAACTTAAACCGGTTAAGTACGAAACTGAACTGATATTAATTTACTGAACTGAACTGGACCCGGAATTAACTGAAAATGACACTGAAATCATGAACCGGGGCTGAAACTGAAGAATACTGACTGAACCGGTCCAGCCGGTCTGAACCGGTCTGGACCGGACTGCCGGTCTGCTAAACCGGGCAGTCGGGTGCTGGCTCGGCCAGCGGCCTGCCGAGTGCTGCGCGCACGGGCGCTGCCTGGC